CCCGCGATGACGACCACCCTCCTGCCGCAAAGTTTGCCCCTGGAACCCTTGTATGGCTGTATGTACCACCCTGTGCTCCTGGCTTGTCTACCAAACTACATTGAAATTACCATGGTTTATACCGCGTGGTAGAGCGCACATCGCCCGTCAATTACGCCATTGAACCGCTTACGCCGCTCGGTGACCATCGTCGGCGTGGACACGATATTGTTACACAAGGCAAGATAAATTAATGGGGTTTTTTTAATGGCAGGCGTGACCTCTGGCCACGTATTTATTGATTGTCTTGCTCATTTTTGGCCAATCGAACCGCTCTTGTGTGCGACTAAGTGTTTGTGCGGTGCCTAGATGGCCAGAGGTGGGGTCATCATGCGTGGGACGCAGAACAGACGTTTGGAGAGACGCAGGAACAACTAGCAGAAAGCGAGCGCCCGGCGTGGACAAGTTTCTCTGGTAAAGGAGACCGTTTCGGACGCTGAATCGGCCTTCGCTTAATCAATTTCTCGCTCCAGGGAAGAGAGATTTCCAGCTTTGGTAATTACGCTGCTCAGCGGCGAAAGTGACGGCATCGGGAAAGCCAGACGACAGAGAAGTGATAAGGTGGTCAAAGTTATCGCCTTCACAATCTGTCGATGGTAGCGGCATTCTGGAGAGGCAATCCGCATCAGCGTGTAGACGGCTAGTCTTGTATGAAATGGTGAAGACATGTTCTTGCAAACGAGGGGCCCATCGTGCGAGGCGGCCGGATGGGTCACGAAGGTTGACTAGCCAACACAGGGAATGGTGATCGGTGACGATAGTGAACGGGCGACCATAGATGTATGAGCAAAACCGTTGCACGGCAAAGACTACCGCTAGGCATTCCCGTTCGGTCACTGTGTAGTTGCGTTCAGGCTTGCTTAAAGAACGACTTGCGTACGCCACAGCGTGTTCCTTCTTGCCAGAACGCAGAACGAGAACGGCACCGATACCGATGCCACTTGCGTCTGTCTGAATTTCCGTGGGCGACGAAGGATTGAAGTGCCGAAGTATTGGCTGCGAAGTTAACAAACACTTCAGCTTGTGAAAAGCAGCATCGCACTCGGAGGTCCACTGAAACGGGCTGTTCTTGCGTGGAAGACTCGTCAGGGGGTGAACAGCATCCGGAAACTTGGGCACGAACCGCCGGAAATACGAGAAGAGCCCGATGAAGCTACGCAGTTGTTTCACAGATTTAGGACGCTCGAACGATTCAACGGCCGCTGTCTTTTGTGGGTCAGGTCTAATGCCATCTTTGTCGACGAGATGTCCTAACACCAATGTCTGTCACTCGCCAAAGTGGCACTTTTTTGAATTCAATACAAGGCCAGCTTTTTCAATGCAGCTGAGCACGAGGTCTAGGTGAGTGTTGTGCTCCTCAAACGTACGCCCAAAAATTACGACGTCATCAAGGTAACACATGCATATATGTCATTTTAAACCACGCAATATAGAGTCCATAAATCTTTCGAATGTCGCAGGAGCATTACATAATCCGAATGGCATAATGTTGAACTCGTAAAGTCCGTCGGTCGTAACAAATGCTGTCTTTTCTTTGTCAGCTGCGTCCATCGGAATTTGCCAGTAACCTGATCTCAGGTCGACAAATGAAAAGTAGGACGCGGAATGCAGGCAGTCTAGAGCGTCATCGATGCGCGGCAGAGGATAGACGTCTTTCTTGGTAACAGAATTCAGTCGCCGGTAGTCAACGCAAAATCTCCATGTACCATCCTTCTTCCTCACTAGAATGACGGGAGCAGCCCACGGACTTGCCGATTCCTGTATTATTCCCTTTTCCAGCATCTCTTGAACTTGCTCATTGATGATCTTGCGCTCCGATGGTGCCACTCGGTAAGGTTTCTGCCTTATGGGATGCGCCGACTCGGTGTGGATCTGATGACGTATCCGGGACGCTGGGATTAAGGGCCTTTGGCTCTATTTAGAAAAATCGAACACTTTCGAGTGCTTAGACAGAACGTCGAGCAGTGTATGAGTATGACATTCGCTTTGTTCAAGTGACTTGCTGACCATTTGTAGCTATTGGGCATCTTCTGAACCTTCTAAGCCTAGATGTTCATTTTGGCTTGTAGCATCAACAAGCGCAACCAGCGTCGTACATGACTCGGGTCTAAATACTGCAAGTTTCATGCCGCCTGGCAGAATTGCAGGCTCCATTCAACTATTCATTGTCCACACACCTGCCCGTCCATCAACGACTGACACTATACAATAGGGAATGAGAATGTCCTTTTTCAGGCATGCCGAGGGAATCGGTTCGAGCGTAGCGTCAAACTTGCCACAGTTGTTACTGGAACATGTCACGGGAACACACACAGCAGAAAATGCAGGAACGACTGTATCCACGGAGACGAAAAAGATGCATTCCTCCAGACAGGAATTTTCTAAGAGCGCCGTTGGGAAAGTACCGTGTATAGAAATATGCCCACTTCTGCAGTCTACAGTTGCCCCACACTCACACAAGAAGTCAATACCCAAGATAACGTCATGTGTAGACCGCGGAATAACCGAAACCTCTGTGCAAAACACCTTGCCACACAGCGAGACGTCCACAGTACAATATCCCACCGGACACAACACGTCACCACTTACACCACGAAATGCACCCCACGGATCAGGCAAAACATCACTTTTGGTACTAGCAGGGTCTTAAAATTTACACTCACCACCGAGACTGTCGCGCCTGTATCCACAAGTGCCATAGTAGCCACTCCATCAACAGCTACATGAACTTTGTTCTTCAACATAAACGCTGACGGGGGTATATCTGTAGATAGCACCTGTGATCTTGCAGCTTCACCCCCACTGGCCACACCGACTAGTTTTCCGGCGGCTGTGTACACGCGCGTCGCTGCGGCGACGGCGATCGTGGGGCACGGGGAGCTGGCGGTGGCGTCAAGCTTCGATCAGAGGCCGGCGAGGGGTAGCGTATCCCGGTAGGTGCGCGTAGTTTCCGTGACGTGGAGCGCGGATGGTCGAAATGTTGGTGATACATGTGCCAAGACTGTCGCTGATATCGGCGGGGTTCACAAAAAACGTGCAATATGACCCGGGACGCCACAGTTGTAGCATACCGGAATTGGTCGAGGGGCACGTGGCTGCTCAGAGTAACGACTCCTCTCGGAAGGCATGGGATAGTGGTGCTGCCCTTCAGGGGCACTGTTGGCAGGCGATGTTGGGTAAACAGGCGGGCGAAAACTTCGTTCGTAGTTGGGAGTTGGATGACGGGGGAACCCAGCCTGCCGTGTGCCTTGATATTCATAAGCGTTATGCTGCGTTGATCGATGGTTGCCATGGTGGAAGAGAAACAGGAGTCCGCACACGTTCTGGTTCGTTTACGTACACATCCTGAAAATCGCTGGGGCGATGATAGGTCTGCTGACATCGAAGCAGCTCTTCTCTGACGATCTGCCGTATGGTCAAAGCAAGGTCGTTAGGCGGCACTGTTTCAATACTAGCCACAGTGGGGACGTTGGACAGGCGGCCGAATTTCGGAGAAATTCGTCGCATCTTGAGGGATTCAAAGGTACGACAGTGCTTCATCACGTCGGACACGGAGTTCAAGCAATCTTTCCCAATTAAGAAATTGTACACGTCTTCTGCTATACCCTTGAGAACGTGTCCAACCTTGTCTTCTTCGGACATCCTCTCATTCACGATCTTGCACAGCTTCAATATTTCTTCAATGTATGTCGTACATGTTTCTCCTGGAAGCTGTGCCCTCTGAGACAATGTCTGTTCCGCGCGTTTCTTTTTTGCATCGGAATCACCGAAACACTTCAACAAAACGTTCCCAAGTCGTGAACATGTCCTCGTGGCTCTCGTACCACATCCGAGCGGTGTCAGTTAACGAAAATACGACATGATTGAGCTTTTCGTTCGAGTCCCAGCCATTGCTTTTGCTCACCCGCTTGTAGTTCTTGAGCCACACGCCGACGTCTTCTCCTGAGGTTCTGCCGAAGTTTGGCGGCACTCTGTAGTACGGCGCGGAACCCATCGGAGTTGACCTCGAAGCGTTGGATGGCTGCTCTTGGGCCATTACGATCGGCGAAGGTGGAAGTCCGGCGAGGCGGCGGCTGCGACGAAGTCTTGGTAGGGAAGCTTCCGTCTTTGAGTTTGTCCTACCCATTACCTTCCACCAAATTGTTACACAAGGCAAGGTAAATTAATGGGGTTTTTTTAATGGGCCCTGAGTCCGCGATCACCGTCTAATGATGATCTCCACCGCCATGGCTCGTACCCACTCAGAGGGATCGCAGTGGAGGCAACGTTGTCTTCATTCTTTACCCGCGCTTCCCTTGTATTTCCTGATAGTGATACTTCTTATCAATATTGTTCACTTGGACCGCTTGAAGCCATACTTCGACCCGCTCGTTCCTATCTGTTAGATCGCCAGTATGGCTTCATCTTTCTCGACGGGGGCAATTTTAATGAAGGAATGATGACAACGCCAGGGAACAACAAGCATCAACGCTGAGTAAGGCATCACCAGATCGGCACCTGAGCTCCACCATCTTCCTCGTCCTGTCGTTATCACAAATCTTCCACCAGCCCATTAGACCGTTCGCCCAATAAACCTCTTTGCAACAAGAACTTCTATCAGCGCAATGAATGATGACACCGATAAAAGTGCTTTGTGTTCTATTGGCGCTAAACGAGCTGATAAGGGGGATGCTCAGTGCTGTTGAAGCCACGTTCACCCACGAAGCATAAAACCATCACCACCACAGAGGAGTACTTGCGTGTACGTACCTCTCAAATTGTTCCTTCCACGTATATCGCTAAATCAAAAAAGTATAAATAGCTGCGCTCAAACAATTGTACGCACGTGCGTACTGCAATTAAGAGTTACTTTTACTTCAGAAACAACGCTAAGCGGGGCGATAACCATCAATCCCTCAGCAGTGAACGTGATGTAAAATACCCAAAGAACTAACGTAAATTATCTGCATTTTATGCTTCAGATCTTTCGCGACCATGCCTACGGTGTTACAATATTGGATAGTGACGGTGACGGAGAACTGGAGTGTATGACGACCAAACGCACAGAATACAACCCAGAAGCACCTTCGGCCACGTTCGTGTGGATTTTAAAAGGCTTGAATGGACACGAAAAGTAAGGACTGGAGAATCGGCATCATCTGTAGTAAAAGTCAGTTAACGAGTGCATGTTAACACTGACCTACACATATATAAGTACTAGTATTTACGAAATATTTTTTGAATGTCGGCAGTGACCTTTGCCCTGTTGGAGATTAGTAGACGCTCTGAGGTGGGCCACGTAATGTCACCACATTTCATCGACTGAAACTCCTTGGTTGTGAATTGAGATTCCCAGCAGCTTGGGTGTTGGAGGAGAGGGGGTCGCAGGAGTAAGTGGGATTCGCCCAACTATCCGAATCATTCAGAGTGTCCCTATTTTGTTGCCATAACCCTATTGCACTGCAGTCGCTCAGCTAGTGCAAGTTGCTGTAATGCTTGCACTACCTGAGAGCTTCATAGTGAGTGGAATTGTAACTTAGTGGTCATAGAACTAGAACATAGCCGCTGAGAGTTTCTTAAGGTTGTCGCGTGATCAAATAGACATATTGCCATAGAGAAAAGAGAACATAATGAGATGGCATTCGTGTCTTTGTAAGGAAGTCAGCTGATAATGAATTTTCAACTTTCGACTGTTATCCTGTTGCCATATATAATATATCTATTTAGAGGTGTTTCATTTTCATCAAATGCAAAAAATGAAAGCTGCCTAAATTATTGTCTTGCTGAGTGAAGCAATCATGAAACCAAGTGTCAAAAGCAATTGTAAAGCGTTACTTGTAGCGAGACTGGAATTATGAGTAATGTATGTTTTTGTTGAACAAATCAAAAATATAACACTATTTACATATGAGAGTTTTCTATACGGAGCACACCGTCAGTAAAAATTTTTGTGGTGGTGTAATTATGGTTTCACAAACCGCACCTAGAATGTGTGCATAATCGGCGCAACAAATCCGGTGTCCCAATAAAGTGCATAAGAATCCAATGTAGCTCCAATATACTTGGGCAAAAGAGAGATATGTAAAACTGAAAGACCAGCCATAGCTATTTGGTAGATAATAATATCTGAAATTTTAAGCTGAACATTAGTCACGGTAAGTGAAAGAACGGCACGAGTGCTTTTTGAAAAAAAATGTGCACCAGCATATTTATTGCCGATGTAGTTTAAAATAATTGTGAGCTCAGTTAACTCACTGTCTGGCGACCGCAGTGGCTAAGCCTTAGCTCGTTGCGTAATTTGGACCGAGAAAATGACGTGGTCTAGAAATTGCCTAAAGACTAATTAAGCGTGTTCACAAATCTATGGAATGATCATGAGGCAGGACGCGATTGAATTGAGAGAATCACACAGCCTACTAACTCTAATTGCTCTAATGATGATAAGTGCAATACACACGGGGAAAACAAAAAGAGTACCTAGTATATATATATATATATATATATATATATATATATATATATATATATATATGGGATATGGCACAACGGGAGCGTTGCCAACATGGATAAATATATTTCTTTTCCAACAGTTTCGGGAGCGGTCCTCTCTTCGTCTGGGGACGACTCATCCCTTGACGAAGGGAGGACCCCTCCCGAAACTGTTGGGAAATAAATAAATTTTTCCATGTTGACAACGCTCCCATTGTGCCATATATCCCATACCTTCACGAATACTAACAGGCCCATTGAAATAATACTCCCAGTATTATATATATATATATATATATATATATATATATATATATATTGTAAGATGGCATCCAGTACCCTCAAGACTCTTCTTTATTGACTCGTGCATGTGCCCCACAACCTAAGCTTGACTAGTGATGATGAGTATGTGCAGATCAAAAAATGGGACGCATAAACAATGCTCACACTTATTTTCCCCGCGCACTTGAGTGGCCGGCCCGGCCGAATCTTAGGCGGGAAATGTACGGCGAACACAGGGTTTAACACGTGAAACGTGGACTATCTCGGAGGCACGGTAACGACGGTCCGACGAACCCTCGACGGGAGTGACAAGGTAATTGACAGCAGATGTCCGTTCAGAAATAACGTAAGGTCCGAGAAAGCGTGACTGAAACTTTTCACACAATCCTGGAGTGCGAACAGGCGTCCAAAGTAATACTTCATCTCCTGGACGGAAAGTGACGTCTCGACGGAAGCTGTCATAGCGTTGCTTGCGGGCTTGTTGACTGGCCTCCGTGTTGAGTAGAGCACGTTGCCGTGCCTCAGCGAGCCTGGAAACGAAATGTTCTGGCGTAGTCGTGGACGGTTTTGTCGTTACATTGAAAAAAGAGGCGTCAATAGTGAATGTCGGCGCACGACCATAGACGATGAAGAAAGGTGAATACCCGGTGGTTCGTTGAACAGCGGTGTTGTGTGCAAATGTTAAGAACGGCAAGATTTTGTCCCAGTTATCGCGGTTCGATCCGATGTACATGGATATCATGTCAATTAGAGTCCGGTGGAATCGCTCTGTCAGGCCATTTGTCTGCGGGTGGTAAGCGGGTGTGATCTTATGAACTGTGCCACAAGGTTTTAGGATTTTATCAAGAATTGTGGACAGGAAGTCCTTGCCTCAGTCACTCAACAACGCGCGAGGTGCACCATGACGCAACACAATGGCTTCTAAAAAGAAGGCGGCAACGTCTGATGCAGAGCTAGTGCGTAGAGGAGCCATCTCCGCGTATCGTGTGAGGTGGTCGACAGTTGTGACGATCCAGCGGTAGCCCGCTGACGTTACGGGAAGTGGCCCGACGAGGTCCATTCCGACAACGACAAAAAGTGTATCGGGACATGAAATGGGTTGTAATAGGCCAGCAGGAGCTGAAGTTGGTCGTTACCGGCGTTGACAAAGTGTGCAAGAAGCGACATATTTAGCCACAAAGGTAGAAAGACCAGGCCAGAAGAAACGGCTCCTAACGAGGTTGTAGATCTTTTGGAATCCCAAGTGTCCAGCTGATGGGTTGTCGTGCAATGCTTCGAGAACTTGTTTTCGCAGCGAACGGGGAAGTACTGGCACCCACCGATGCCCATCCGCATTGTAAGTATAGCGCTGCAGGACGTTGTTCTCTAGCTTGAACTGCCGTAGCTGACGGCATTAGGGGGAGAAGACGAGCCATTCAAGTATCCGATGATGCGGTTACAGTAGGGGTCGTCACGTTGGTACGCGGCAAACTGGGCGCTGTTCTTTAAAGATAGTGACCCAGCAACTGCCAGGGTTGACAACGTGGGCGAAGAGGAAACCACTTGATCACCTGAGGGGCATTGAGGATTCATGGATGGAGATAAAAGTAGCAGAGGGCAGCGGGAGAGAGCGTCAGCATCCTGATGCTGTTTGCCAGACCTGTACACAACGTCAAAAGTGTACTCTTGCCAACGCAGTATCCAGCGACCGAGGCGCCCAGACAAATTCTTCAGCGAGGACAACCAGCATAGGGCATGGTGGTCGGTGATCACAGTGAAGTGGCGTCCATACAGATGAGGGCGAAGTTTCTGGATGACCCAAACGACAGCGAGACATTCCTGCTCTGTTATCGAGTAGTTCTGCTCCGCAGGTGTTAGTGCGCGGCTGGCATACGCAACTACTCGCTCACGTGATGTTTATCGCGCTGGAGGAGGACAGCACCAATTCTGTGGCCACTGGCATCTGTGCGCAGGAAAGTGGGTGCACTCTCATCGAAGTGACGGAGGACGGCGTCTGATGTCAGAGCACGCTTAAGGGCTTGGAGAGCACACTCGCACTCGTCAGTTCACGTGAAAGCCGTTCCTGACGTCAGAAGCTTGTGTAACGGCCCCGCAATGGTAGCGAAGTGACGGATGAAGCGGCGGAAGTAAGACGCCAGGCCCACGAAACTTCGCAATTGTTTTTGACAGCCCGGACGTGGAAAATTAATTATGGCAGCAACCTTGTCGGGGTCGGGTCGAACGCCATCTTTGCTGACAAGGTGACCCAATACTTTGATGCTTGTGCTGGCGAAGTGGCACTTCTCTGTATTGAGCTGTAGACCAGCGTTCGAAATGCACGTTATAACTTCGTCCAAACGCTTAAGGTGCTGAGGAAAAGTAGAAGAATAAATTACGATGTCGTCTAAGTAACATGAACAGGTTTTCCATTTGAGACCACGTAAGACGGTATCTATTATGTGTTTGAATGTTGCTGGAGCGTTGCATAAGCCAAAAAGCATGACGTTAAATTTGTAAAGCCCATCAGGCGTCGCAAACGCTGTTTTCTCCTTGTCTGCTTCGCGCATAGGTATTTGCCAATACCCGGATCGAAGGTCGAGGCTGGAGAAATATTCTGCGCCTTGTAGGGAGTCCAGGGCATCATCTATGCGTGGCAACGGATATACCTCTTTTTTCGTGATCTTATTGAGCGCTCTGTAATCAACACAAAAGCGGAAAGAGCCACCCAACACTACAGGAGACGACCAGGAGCTGGATGAAGGTCGAGTAATTTCCCGTTTGAGCATGTCGGTGACGTTTTCTTCAATGATTTGCCGTTCCACCGATGACAGACGGTATGGGCGGCGGCGTACAATGGAGCTGCCTTCGGTTTCGATGCTGTGCTCTGCAACGGAGGTGCGGCCCAGAACTTTGGAATGTACGTCAAACAAAAGGCTGTGCTACTGGAGAAGATCTAAGAGGTGTCTCTTTTGCTCGGCATTGAGGTGAGGACTTATAGTGTCATTTAAAGCAACAGTGGTAGCCTTCATATCAGTTGTAGCAGACAAACGCGTTGATTCTGCGTGAAGGGGAACCAGCGAGAAAGGCTCGCTGTCAGCGAAGCAGCTCACAGCAGTGCCTTGGGGCAGCATCAATGGCGATGAAGTTAGGTTCAAGGCGGTGACCAATGCTTTACTGTCGTTAAACCGCACAAGGCCGGGTGCTATGGTAAGCCCCACAGGTTTGGAGCGAACTGATGGGGCTATGAACACGTCACAGTTAACTATAGTATCCGAAGTGATCGTGAGAATTTGTCCTTCTCCTGGCGAAATGAAACAATCAGCGACAGCAACGAAACGGAAGCTGTATGGATCGACATCCGATGAACACTCAGTAGCTGACATTTCCAATACTCGCTGACGACACGATATGAAAGCTGATGCCGAAGAAAGAAAGTCCCATCCTAAAATTACTGTGTGAGTGCACCAAGAGAGTTCAAGAAACTGAATGTGGTGAAGGATGCCATCTATGAAAACGTGGACTGTGCAAACACTTGAAGGCTGAATGGGGACTCCATCTGCGCAACGAAGGGGGGGCCATCGTACAGCTTCCTAACTTTTTTTCAAGCGGGCACAAAAGTCTGCACGAATTACGGAAAGTGAGGCGCCTGTGTCTACCAGTGCCTCTGTCTGTATACCTTCAATGTACACTAATAAAACATTCGATGGGCGGTCCGGAGGAGTTCGACGCAGTTCGAAAGATGCAGCTTTCCCTCCCGAAGCTGCACTGTTCAGTTTTCCAGTTGCTGGTCAGGAATTCGAGTAGAAGGTCGGAGAGGAGAAGAGGAACGCCGCATCGGTGAAGGTGAGCGACGACGTGAGAAACGGGAACTGCCAACTGAGCCAAAGTTCTGCGGAGACGGCGACCGACATCTGCTGTTCTGATACTGTCGGCGATAGGGTGGTCCAGTGGGGTAGAAGTCTTCCCGTTCAAAGTTATCGTAGCTTCGTCTTTCGTCTCGCTGACGGCGTCGGCAAAACCTTGAAATGTGACCACGGATGCCGCAATAGAAGCAAGTCGGTCGCGAAGTGCGCCAGTCGTTGTAAGGCTGCGAAGATGGTCGTGGTGCGAGTGAGTTGAGCGAATCATGAAATTCGGCCGCTGGTAGCTGCATTGGGCTTTGCTGGGGTGCAGGTGTCCTAGCAGCAACTTGAGCATAAGTTGGCATGGCCACAATATATGAGCTCGGAACTGGTGAGATTGTTATTGAGGCCAGGCTTTGCTGGGGCGCAGGTGTCGTTGCAGCGACGTGAGCATAACTTGGAATGGGCACGGGATGTGAACTCAGAACTGGTGTACCTGTGATCACTGCCAGTTCCTCCCTCAAGACATCGCGTAAACTAGTAGCAGGTGGCGTCGTTTGGATATCAAGGGGGCGAGGTGAAGCCTGTGCATGAAGTTCATCGCGGATGATAGAGCGGATCAATGTACGCAACTCTGTTGTGTCATGACTCGAGCTGAGATCAGGCATATCAGGTTGCACCCGAGTTGTTTGAAGCTCCTCAAGGCGCTGACAGGTAGCTACAACATCGGCTACGGTCTGGGGATTCTGCACCACAAGCGCATTAAAAGCGACAGTCGCAATGCCTTTCAGCAGGTGGCGCACACGGTCGTTTTCCGCCATATGGTTGTCGATGCGGTGGCAAAGGGCGAGAACATCTTCAATGTAAGAAGTGTAAGACACGCCGCGGCGTTGAACACGTGCACGAAGCCTTTTCTTGGCGATATCCGAGCGCACCGACGGGTTGGCGAAAATCTGGCGGAGCTGGCACGTAAAGGCGGGCCATGTCAAAAAATATGTAGCGTGGTTTAAAAACCACGTTTTTGCGACGCCGCTCGAGTATAATGCAACGCGGGTGAGTTTCGCAGGCTCATCCCAGTTGTTTATGGCACTCACGTGGTCATACTCCTAGAGCCAGTCTTCCACGTCCTCACCCGGAAGCCCTGCGAACAGCGGAGGATCCTTTTGAGGGCTGGTGACCAGGGGAGAAGGGTTTCTTGGCTGTGGGAGCGGTGGCGCAGCTGCTGCGCTGGGCTGGTCGGCTTGCGACATTACCGAACCCAGGTCGTTTAAGCGGCGGCCTGAACGGAGCTCCAGGGATGCGTTCTAGAAGACGCTGGGGTTGTCCGAGAACGCGAGAGGACGCAGGAATTGGGCAGCACTCTCCACCACTTGTAAGATGGCGTCCAGTACCCTCAAGACTCTTCTTTATTGACTCGAGTATGTGCCCCACAACCTAAGCTTGCCTAGTGATGATGAGTATGTACAGATGAAAAGATGAAAAGATGGGACGCATAAACAATGCTCACAATATATATATATATATATATATATATATATATATATATATATGGCTCAAAAGCAAAGCAGATACTTGCCATCAACGTGCAACTCCCGCATTAACCGCAGGCCATCAACGGGCATTATTCTTGCAACCGGTTGGAGAGCATGGCTTAGAGGCGCGAACTCTGGTTGGAGTGGCATAGAGTGTGTTCAGCACAAACCAAGATACCAATGCCGTATAATTTGTTATTTGTATGCATGTCGCCTTGTTAAACAAAAATTTGCATAAATGACTGCCTCTCAAAAACTGAAGTACACTTTTTAATGCAACTTGATAGAGTCATAGAATGTTTTCCGCATGGGTTGTCTGAATAAATTTGTTTGAAACTTGAAACTTGCCTGGCGATGTTGCTGATACGCAGACATGTGTTTTTCTATTGCAGAAAAAATATCCCGTTTCATGTGAGGCCGTCAAACTCATCTCACGAGGTTCTCCTTAACTTCGATGACGGTAAATAACGAATTAAAAAGTTATTGAAGAAATTTGGCGAATGAACAACTGCATGTATTTACTGGTGCCTAGAGGACAAAAAAACATGGCTCTGATAAAGTAATTTGAGTTAATTAGAATACAGCATAGATGCCCAAGGAAAATCTTAGAAAGTCAAGTAATCGAACGCAGCAATAGGTTTTTTACGGGGTTCTTTCTATAATTTTATAGTAGGTCGCAGAAGCATGTAGGATTCGAAGTAGGGCTTAAATGTTGAATAGGAATATAGTGAAGCTCGAGATACTGGACGAATTCATTGTGTTTGTGCTACAAGAGGATAAATGCTGCAGGACGACAATTTCAAAATTTTATTCTTGTGTCCGCACAATTCCTGGTCAATGAAAAGAAATGATGCAGTACTCCTATAAGCACAATTACAAGATGCTTGGAGAAAAACATGATATTCACAAAAACTTTCATTTCCCAGCGCTTTTCACATGACGGTTCAAGTTGAAATATCCATGTACTAATACGGCTTAATAGTTGAGGAGGATTGTGAGAACTCAAAAATACTATCCACAAAGTGTTTAAAATACTAGCGTCATGGTGATCTCCTTTCAGCTCTTACTGTTATTGATGATTAATCGCCAATATCTTTGTTCCTGGCAGCGTATTTTCAGCGCGTTAAACTTCTGCAGCTATGTCGTTATATGTCTCCCTGAAGCCCATGGTTGACAAGGGAAAAAGCAACAACGTTAAAAAAATTGGCAGATCTCACGTACCGAGGGAATCGATGATATGCGAAGCACGAATGAGAAATGTTGGTATGTCACTTTAAAATCAGCCTAATGTTACGAGGTGGAGGTAAATGATGCCGTACATAACTTCCGCGTTATGATTGTCATGTTTGAATGTGTCGTTTACCTTCATTATCAATTCACGTCATGTGATACCAAATTTAGTATATGTGATGCTAGCAAAACGACGGCGAGCACGCTAGGAGCGTGGCATGTTGACATGTTTATACATGACACGCGTGTCAGGAATATTATGTTTGCACCAGTCATATATTTCGCCCTCAATTGACGTCACGTAACACCTAATTTGGTATATGTGGAGCTAGCAAAATGGCCACGAGCACCTAATTAAGGGCCCAATATACTTCAATGTAGCGTTGACGCGCGCGCACGATGGGCACAGAGACACTACGTTAGCAAAACGCGAGCAGTCTATAGTCTGACGCCAGGTGCGACCAGGGTCCATCGCAGTGGCCCGACGGCAACCGGCGCGAAATATGACACGCTGCATTTCGCGCCGATGCGCTACCTGGACAACACTGCGTCTCCCTCGTTTGGTGACATAGAGACGCCGGATGTGCTGAAACGCGCATGCGTCAAAGCAACACAGCGTGGCGTGCGCCTGCCAATATATGGCAGGACCACGCCTGGCGTGGCAACGCCGGCGTGACGCGACGAAACGGACGCCGGCGAGCACGTACACCGCGTCAAGTCTAAATATATTGGCGCCTTGACTGTGGTATGGAGACATGTTTTCAGATGACAGGTATCTCATGATTATCACGTTTACACCAGTCCTATACCTTGGTCATTCGTTCGCGTCACGTATTACCAAATTTGTCATTTGTCAAGCTAGCGAAACGGCCGCGAGCGCATCATGAGCGTGGCATGTATTCATGTTCTTACATGACACGCACATCATCATTTTTATGTTAGGCTCTGTTGCTTGTGTTCGTCATGCAATCATGCCATACCATACCAGTTTTGCAACATGCCATGTGAAAGAAACCACCGCAAGAGCAGCAGGACTATGAAATGTAAATCATGACATTGATGTCATGATTTTTATGTCATGATTTTCATGTTAGGTCTGGTCAAATATGTGCTTTATACAGTGAAGTTGTGGTATACGAACTTTCGTATTGATACCATTATCGAAACGGCCAGGAAAGCTAAAAGTCATAGATAGATAGATAGATAGATAGATAGATAGATAGATAGATAGATAGATAGATAGATAGATAGATAGATAGATAGATAGATAGATAGATAGATAGATAGATAGATAGATAGATAGATAGATAGATAGATAGATAGATAGATAGATAGATAGATAGATAGATAGATAGATAGATACGCTCAAAGTCGCCGAAGTTCGCTAAAAAATGCTTCGCATTTAAAACTCGAGACAATTCCACTTGGCAATATGGCCATCACAGCTGGCAAGCAGGCTCTCATCCCTCTTTGGCGTAAGGGCGCTGACCCTCATGCGTTCTGCCGAGGCGCGACCGCTCATTCCACGTAGAACTGTTCCGAAACAGCGTCCCTATAGGGACGCTGTTTTGGTATATATACTCGTCTGAGGAAGCGAGACATGTGCTTGCAAGTATCACTGTAAAGCGCTAGGTCTTTCACCAGTCTTTAAAATACGCCAGGAGATTTAGTAGCCGAATGCTTCGAACACATATGCATCATTAAAGGGGGAAAACTTCTGGTGTGCTCTACGGGGTTTGAGGAGAAGAAGGGGGCACTAATGCACCTAAGTTGGTTCTTAAACCACTCTCTAGAAGCCACTACGTGTTTTCGCAAGCGGAAAGTGGAGAGCAACTCGGCAAAGAAATTAGGATGTCCCATATATATATATATATATATATATATATATATATATATATATATATGTATGCAGGCATGGTTGGTGGTTGAGTGGCCGTAGCGTTGCATATAGTCCAGTAGATCCTCCGTGAGCGGTCACAACGTGGTTTATTTCGACGTTTCGGCCAAGAGTCTGGCCTTCATCAGTGTTGGTGCTGATGAAGGCCAGACTCTAGGCCGAAACGTCGAAATGAACCACATTGTGGCCGCTCATGGAGAATATACTGAACTGTAATATATATATATATATATATATATATATATATATATATATATATATATATATATATATATATATGTGTGTGTGATATGGCACGACGGGAGCGTTGTCAACAAGGATAAATATACTTATTCCTAACAGTTTCGGGAGGAGTCCTCCCTTCATCAGGATATGAGGGAGGACCCCTCCCGAAACTGTTGGGAAAGAAATATATTTATCCTTGTTGACAATGCTCTTGTTGTGCCATATTCCATACCTTCAAGAAGACTAACTGGCCATTGAAATATTACTCCCACTATATATATATATATTATGAAACCACGTCCAGTACAGCAGCAACCAGGTTATCCTTTTTTAATCCAGCCGCACGAGCCAGAGAGCCAGCCCGCGTGACATACGATGATGATCACTACAATGGTTTGGTCATACAGATGAAGATGAAGTACATAGTCAGCGCTCACACTATTTTCCCCCCTTCGCGAAAGAGGGCAGCAAGTTAGAAAGGGTTGAGACGCCGAATATATTGTTTCAGTCGAGAGACGTGGGCGATCTCGGTGTGGCGGCGACGACGATCAGAAGCCGCGTTGACAGGAGCAACGCGATAGTTGACTTCAGATATTCGTTCCAGGACGGTGTATGGACCGAGATACCGGTGAAGGAATTTTTCGCAGAGCCCAGGTACACGAACAGGTGTCCACAAAAGGACTTCGTCGCCTGGGCGGAACACAACAACTCGACGCTTCGCATCAAGGTCGTTTTTTCTCTTGTCCTGAATGGTAGTAGTGTTGGCACGGGCGATTTTACGGCAGCGGGCGACGCGAGCGGCGAACTCTTCCGGGAGAGATGAAGATGGATTGGAAGATGTGGACAAAAAGGTGGTGTCCAGAACAAAAGTCGGTACACGGCCATACACGAGAAAAAACGGGCTGAAATTCGTTGTACGCTGTATGGCAGTGTTATATGCGAACGTGACAAAAGGATGTATTGTGTCCCAGTTTTTGTGATCTGGTTGCACGTACATAGAGATCATGTCGGACAAAGTTCGGTGAAAACGCTCAGTCAGACCATTAGTTTCTGGGTGATACGCTGATGTGGTCTTGTGAATAGTGTTAGAGGCCTTTAAGACTTCAGCAAGGACATGTGAAAGAAATGTCTTGCCACGGTCACTAAGGAGCACACGCGGTGCGCCATGTCGTAAAATAATGGCGCGAAGGAAAAAATCGGCTACTTCAGAGGTAGCACCAGATGAAAGAGGTGCCGTCTCCGCGTAGCGAGTAAAGTGGTCTACGGCAGTAACAATCCAGCGGTGACCGGCTGACGTAAGCGGAAGAGGTCCGTATAAGTCTATGCCCACAAATTCAAAGGGAGTGGACGGGCACGGCAGTGGTTGCAGTGGCCCTGCGGGAAGAGACGTGGTACGTTTTCGGTGCTGGCATGACGAGCAGGAAGCGACGTACTTGGCGACAGAAGTGTAGAGGCCAGGCCAAAAGCAGCGAGTCCTGAGGCGGTCGTAGGTCTTGTGGAACCCTAAGTGGCCAGCTGTCGCATCGTCATGAAACGCTTGTAGACCTTCCAGACGAAGTGAGCGAGGAATGACGGGAACCTATTGGTTACCGAGAGGATCGTAAATTTGCCGACATAATGTTCCCTCTTGAAGCTTGAAACGGGCAAGTTGTCTTAGGTGGCTGTTTGGAGCACGCGCTAAGCCAGTGAGCCGATCGATGATTGTGCGGCAGTAGGTATCGGCATGTTGGAGCGAGGAGAGATCTGTGGACGAAAGAAGGTCCGCCGAGGCAACTAACTGTTTCGAAGGAGCAGCCGTCTGTTTGGTCACTTTGGCGGGCGGTGACGAACAGATGGAAGGTGACACTTCGGCGCTCTGCGAGAGCGGGCAACGGGACAAAGCGTCGGCATCTTGGTGCTCTCGGCCCGACCTATATGTGACGCTGTAGTCATACTCTTGCAATCGTAGTACCCAATGGCCAAGGCGTCCCGACAAATTTTTGAGAGACGATAACCAACACAGAGCATGATGGTCAGTCACTATTGTGAAATGCCGGCCGTATAAGTAAGGACGAAACTTTTGTATGGACCACACGATGGCGAGACATTCTTGCTCAGTGATGCTGTAG